GTTGCCGAGTTCGATGCTCATCATAGTACCTTGGCCGTTCTCCTAGGCATCATCCCTTGGAACGGTCCGTAGCTCATCTGACAGGGATTGTCATGGTCATACCGCGTTCTGACCGTCCTGGACTTTGTACTTCATTCAGTTCCGATGCTCATGTTCGCGTTCAAAGGTGAGCTTTCGTCGCTTTCGTGAGTTTGTGCGCGATAATGATGACTTACTTGTGATCGATGATAGTTGCGCCGGCGGTGGGTGCTGGGAACGCCATCATCATCAAGTCGTCGGAGAAGGCTCCTCTCACCGTGCGTCGAATGCTTCTAGACTTCATGTCCAGAGAGTCCTCACTGTGAGGTTTCCAGCCCCTCATGCTGGGGAAGTTGGCCGTCGAAGCCGGGTTCCCGCCTGGTCTGATCCAGGTTCTCTCGGGGTACGGACCGACTGTCGGTGCTACTCTTGCCAGGGTGAGATTGCTTGATTTTTTTTCCGCGGTCGTGGCCTGTCTGACGCGTATTTTCGTAGCATATGAAGATCCGCAAGATCTCGTTTACTGGCTCGCTCGGGGTTGGCCGGCTCATCCAAAAGATGTCGAGCGAGTCGAACTTGAAGGCAGTTACTCTCGAACTGTGAGTGTTCGGTATGATTGGTTGGATCCCGCGCCTTTGCTGATGCGCATGGATGACAGGGGAGGAAAATCGCCTACTATCGTGTTCCCAGATGCCGATCTTCCTTCCGCCGCTAAGCAGCTGGCACATTCGATTCTCATGTACTCTGGCCAATCTGTGCGTATTTCTTCCCTTTCGACTTTCTTGCCGGACCTGGATGCTTAGACCGCGTTGGTTCTATCACAGTGCATGTGTACATCGCGTCTTTACATCCACTCCTCCATCGCCGAGGAGTTCACGAAGCTGTACCAGAAGGCTATCGAGGCGCAGGCCTCCGTCATTGGGAGTGCGATGGACGAGAAAACGACGCACGGGCCTCAGGTCGATAAGATCCAGCATGATAAGATTAAGCATTATATCGAGGTGGGGAAGACGGAGGGGAATGTGTTGCTCGGAGGGCAAAATCTGAACCAGGATGTGAGTCTCCTTGCGAGCGCTAAGCCATGGAGTGTAGTGCTGATCCTTGATGGTGTCGTATAGGGATTCTTCATCCAACCGACCGTGTTCACCGACGTGAAGGACGACGCGGTGATTGTCAGGGAGGAGATATTTGGGCCTGTGTCTGTGTTGAGCACGTTCGAGACGGAGGAGGAGGCGATTCAGAGGGCGAATGATAGCGAGGTACGCGCATGATTTTGGGCTTTCCTGCTCTACCACGACTGACTGACATTCTTGCCGATGCAGTACGGGCTCTACGCCTCCGTCTTCTCGAAGAACATCAACCGTGCGACGAGGGTGGCTTCTGCTTTGGATGCTGGAAGGTACGGAGAGTTTTCCTCAAAGACACTTCGGCCTGTCAGACTAACTTGTTGTTTCAGTGTCGGCGTCAACTGTACTAGCCCTAGTCCGTCCTCCCGTTCATCTTCGAGGTCACACACCCTAACCACTTTTGCTAATAGCTCTTGCTCCCGACATGCCATTCGGTGGCTACAAACAGTGAGGAGCAGCTCTGAGTCTGCTTTCATAGGATCTTTGAACTGATCGCGCTTGTTTGCCCGTAGGTCTGGACTCGGTCGTGAGCTGGGCCCGAGCTGTTTGTATGCATGGAAACAGGTGCGTATCCTGTCTATCTCCATTTCTAACTCCCGCTGATGGACTTGCTGTGATCAATAGACGAAGAGTGTGTTCGTGAAACTCGATTAACTGGATCACCATGGACCAAACGAGATCTAGAATACCGCGAAGTGAAGATGTTCGTGTACATGCAGTGCGTACTATTACACAGATCAGATATGATTCCTAGTTCTCCGTGTTGTAACTTAGACGCTGAATTGGTGCTTCCCACATCCGTCTTCCATCGGTGTGGATGGACTCCGTTTTCTGTATGCGGAACTGAATGAAGATAAAATTAGACCGGTCTACACCGCCAGCGGGAAGTCAGTCGATTCTGGGGGAGTGCCGGACGCCCAAACGATCCCACGCCCTTTCCCATCTGTCCATCATCTACAGAAGAGGTATATAAGCTCAACCATGCCTCGTTCCCCTCTTGTCGCCCTACCGCCTCCTTCCTACCCACCACGTTGAAGTTCTCTCTTTTCCAGTGAGCTTTTCATCATGCCAGGGGGTCCAGCTGCCACAGGCGGAGGTATCGGTGGTGATGCACCAAAGGTTAGCCTAACGCTCATATTCCTGCTCGATATCTTTTCTCACGCCGATATAGAACAAGTTCGCAGGCATTCTTATGACCTGTTTCGCCGCCTTTGGTGGTATCCTCTTCGGATACGATACTGGTGTTATCAGCGGTGTAAAAGAGATGAAGGCCTGGCTTTGCCAGTTCGGTGACCCAACGGACGATTTCAAGAGGTGGCCTTCTGGTTGCGGTATTAGCTCCTCCACCGAGTCCCTGGTCGTCTCCATTCTCTCTGCCGGAACTTTCTTTGGCGCTCTTCTCGCCTCTCCCGCCGCCGATTACCTCGGACGTAAGAACGTGAGTCGCCCCGTTTTTTCATACCCAAACTAAATTTACTGAGGTTTATGCTTCTCATCTGTGTTCTAGGGTATCATCGCCGCGTGTGTTATATTCTGTGTTGGTGTCGCTATGCAGACTGGTTCGACCGCCATCCCGTTATGTGAGTTATTCCCACCCATTCATCTGCTAGCGCTTATCGAGCTTCAACAGTTGTCGTTGGTCGTGTCTTCGCTGGGCTTGGTGTCGGTCTTGTGAGTGCTTTTCCCAGTGTAGACTGTCCTTGGCCTAACTCTAACGCCACCACGATAGGTCTCGTGCTTGGGTACGTTAAACCCGATGCCAGCTGAGAACATATCTTTTAACGGATGTTTGCAGTCCCCATGTACCAAAGTGAATGTGCTCCAAAGTGGATCCGTGGTGCCGTCGTCGCTCTTTACCAATGGGCTATCACAATCGGTCTCCTTGTCGCCGCTTGTGTCAATCAGGGCACGAAGGATCGTGACGATCACTCCTCTTGGCGTATCCCAACCGCCCTCCAATTTGCCTGGGCTGTCATCCTCGGAGGCGGCATGTTGGCTCTTCCTGAGGTAGGTTCACTCTTCGTCCTCGTGCTTGGTCTAGCTCTGACATCGATGGCTGAATAGTCTCCGCGTTGGTACATCAAACGAGGCCGCTATGAGGATGCAGCCGCATCCTTGTCGCGTCTTACCGCTCTAGCTCCTAACGACCCCATCGTCGAGCTGGAGATCGCTGACATCAGGAGTAATTTGAAAGCAGAAGAGGATCTGGGTGAGAGCTCGTACATCGATTGCTTCAAGAATACGAAGAACCGGATCGGGCTGAGGACTTGGACGGGGATTTTGCTGCAGGGATGGCAGCAGCTGACGGGGATCAACTTTATCTTCTATTACGGGACTACTTTCTTCAAAGTGAGTGGCTCGTTCTTTTGTATGCTTACAGTGCATTCAGACTTAATATTAATGCCATCGTCAGGCCTCTGGCATCAGCAACCCCTTCCTGATAACCATCGTCACGAACGTCGTCAACGTCGTCATGACTCTGCCTGGTATCTGGGCGGTCGAAAAGATCGGACGTCGCAAGCTTCTGCTCTACGGCGCCGTTGGCATGTGTATCTGCGAGTACTTGGTGGCGATTATTGGCGTTACGGTTGGGAGTGATAACGTCGCTGCTCAGCGTGCGCTTATTGCCCTTGTTTGTATCTATATTGTCAGTCACACCTACTCTCTCGCGCCGCTGGCCTTTATGTCTGACGCCTGGGGTAATACTAGGCTCACTTCGCGGCGACATGGGGACCTATTGCGTGGATCGTCACGGGAGAGATCTTCCCCCTCAACGTCCGTGCTAAGTCGATGTCTTTGTCCGTTGCGAGCAACTGGCTTTGGAACTTTGCCATCGGTTACGCGAGTGAGCCTTCCCAACTTCGTTCTTCTCACTACATGTTCAGGATGTGCTCACTGAATTGATGTGCTTCTAGCCCCTTACCTTGTCAACAAGGAGGCTGGTTCCGCCGGTCTCGAGGTCAAGGTGTTCTTCATCTGGGGCTCGACCTGCCTGGGATGTTTCTTGTTCACTTATTTCTTCGTTCCCGAGGTACGCCAAGTTTTCCCCTTCAACTTAGGCCGACTTGAGTCTGACCGTTCATCGACAGACCAAGGGACTTTCTCTCGAACAAATCGACATGATGTACACCCTCGCTGCGCCCCTCAAGGCTGGACCCGTGCGTAAGCGTCTCATGGCGGAAGATATCCACGCTTCGGACGCGCAGGCGTTCCAGAAGGTTGATGGGGTGCATTCTGAACCTGATGAGAAGGTTTAGAGGGTTAGCGTTGTGTGCGCGCCGCACGTTAATACCATGTCTTTTCTAAGTTCTGTTGTTCGTTGTACTGTGTGTTTGGGTGCCGCATGAGTGTAGTTTTTACTTACGTGTTTAATGCATTTTTGGGCGTTGGTGTTCTTGCTAGTTGAACTTTGCGTGGTGTGCGACGAAGCTGAAGCTGATCGGCGATGGAAGCCACTCGCTGCTGTATGTCATCCAGCAGCAGAACCTATTGTTATCTCATGGTACGCGTTCATTCCATACCTCGTGGGGACTCGAACAAGCTATAAGGTTCAGGATCTACGTGTACATTTACTAGCCTGGCTCGTATCACTCGATGAGTCTGCGCGTTGAACTGGAAGTTGAGCTTGAGCCGCGGATCTGCACTATACTGTACTTAAATCTCGTACCTGCATCTCGTCTCTGTTGCTTTCGCCGCGGGACGTATCTTCTGTGTGATATGCTGATTTTTTGCGACGACTTGGAGTGTTAATTGGTGCCTGGCATAGATGTTCATGTTGACTCTGAGTGCTACGGGGTCGATCTCTGCCAGGCACCGCGGTCAAATTATGATGCTTAAGTAAAAACCTACAGCAACGGCCCTATGGTCTAGTGGTAAGATACCCGCTTTGGGAGGCCTCATGCCAAGCTTGCGGGTGACCCTGGGTTCGAACCCCAGTGGGGCCCTTCTTCGCTCAGATTGGCGTCGATTTTTGCCTGGAGTTCCTGATCCTGCCTACTTTCTGCCAACTTGTTGCTTCCATCCAGTCTTCCACGCTGGAGCATGGCGCGCTGCATCATGCTACAGCGTAGTCACAGCGTAGTACTTCAATTTGTTTGTGAACTTTTGTGATCCTTTATTGTAAGTTTCGCAAGCTTGAGATGCCAGCTTGAATCCCATTGGAACGCCACGTCATGTGATTATACTTATAGCTATCATACAAGCTTCAGCTTTCTCCCCGAGCTGGCCCTAGGTTCTCCGCTGTACAAAAGATTGAACTGAGATCTGCCCGGCATCTCCTGCAGTGTGCATGCAAGCGCCCGTCGTGCCTGGTATTTGCTTGCCGGCGGCAAAAGAGTGGTCGAATTCACCGCCAAGTGGAATTCCGGCTCTAAACTTTTCTGATCGAGTCCTTGCAGCTGGCTGCCGGTCATACGCTTACCTTCCTTCCTCCTTCCTTCTTTTTTTTGCAAAACGACGAGGAGGCCGGTCTGGACGCAGGACGGATAATCAGTTGGACTCAAGACAACACAGGGAACTCGTAGAAACACCATGGCGGATCTCACCATTCTCGACTTGTCAGGGCCTCAACCATTATTCACCGGAGCAGGAGCAAGGAATGCACTAACGTCGACTATGTTCCTGAAGCCGCCGAACTACCGCAGAAGAACGCTACCACCTAGAACATTAGCCGCTGCTTCTGAATCCACACCTTCCCTCGTCCTTTCTCCGCCTGGCACAAGTACAGGCAACACGCTAGCAGCACCGGACTTTAACAGACAAGTAAAGCGACGGCGGCGATCGAGTCTGGGAGATATAGTCCTGCCTAGCAGTACGAAGGGGAAGAGCAAGCAGGTGGTGGAAAGGGAACCTGAAACATTGCCGATTCCAGAATATAGTCATGAGCTCAGCGAAGACCCTGAGCTCTTCCCCCCACCTAGACCTGTCTCTGCACCACCAGTACCAGCCAGGTTCAGACCAGGATACCTCCCCGATTCTATCTCCCGCGCACCGATTCGCGAGCTTGCACGACCGGCTCCTCCATTACGTGAGTACTCCCACTCCCCATCCCCGCTGCTATATGAGTACATACTTATTGAGCGTGTGATGTGGTAGTTCGGCCAGCGCCTTTCTGGAGACATACGACACGGTCGGGGGTGACGTCGCCTGTGTACTCCCCTTCGTCGCATTTGATACGAAGATCGACTTTCATCGCTGCTGGGTTGGCTTTTGATAGGCCTTGTCACGACCTTTCGGCGTTTTGCGTGGAGAGCAGAATTGGGTTCGTGGTGTTGCAGCCGGACCAGAACTTTTGATATCACACCAAGATTTCTGGTATCATGGCAAAGAGGGAATATGGGGTAGAGAGGGGGGCGAGGACGCGGTACGATATCGATCTGAGGCAGGTCGGGGAAACGAGCATCGATTGGTGGCCTTACCCTGCTTGGGGAGAGACGACGAGTCCAGCACTACCACCAACACCACCACTGCCAACACCTACTGCCAACGGCGCAGTCATCCTCACGTTCTCTACTGCGGATACCACCGCAACCACTCCTGCCACCACCGCCCTCAGTGCCCTTTCCTCACAAGACGCAACAACAACCACATTTCCTTCTTCCCTACAATCAGCCAACACCGCGTCCGACTCCTCCTTAATCCATTTAACAGCCATCCCTCCCTCCTCCACCTCCACCACCTCTTCACAGTCCCAATCCCATTACGTCTCCCCAGTCCTGTACCTCGCGCCTATATGCGCCATCCTGGGTCTCGTCATCGGCGGGTTGGCCGCGTGGTTCGGGTATGGGTGGTATAAGCGTCGGTTTGGAGGTCGAGTGGGAGCAGGGAAGAGTATGGGCGGGACGGAGTCGCCTTCGAGTCGGACGGAGAAGATGTGGTTCGCGAGCAAGCCGTCGAGGATGAGGAAATCCCAATCTAAGTCTAGCTCGGCGGGGTATAGTATAGTTGACGTTGACTCGACACCACGCCCCGCACGTTCCAAGGGGTTGGAGAAACTGCACGCTATGAGTGAGGTGATGAGGTCCTTCGTCCCGGCGTCGTTTACCTCGCATTCTACCCCTCCCCGCGCGCGTAACGAGCGTGGTAGACCTCGCAAAAGCGGGGGACTATTGTTGGAGGCTGGGACGCGATATGGGAATATCGGTTCGACGCGGTACGACGACGTTCGCTCCACGCGATACGAAGACATACCGGAGAATAACGAGAATCTACCCGTGCTCGTGGATAGCTATGGCTTCGGGACGGTCGAGCTTGGGGGGAGGGGGAGGAGGGGGATGGGGGCGAGTGATTATGAGGGGGATTGGGTCGGTGAGGAGGAGGAGAAAGACGATATGGGCAGGGGTGGGAAGGAGAGTCGTCGCAGCCTTTCCACCCAAGATCTTGGGGATGGAGAGGAGCAGGAAGAGAACGAGACCAAGTCCCTTCTTCCTCCCTCAGGCTCAAGTTCGACTGGCAAGGAGGAGCGCGACCGTGATACGCCTACAAGGAGCACATCGATTTCAACATCGTTTTATTCGCTTTATCGGGATGTACTTTCGCCATCCGACTCTCCTTCCCGTCATCCGTCCCAGCGACAAGTCCCGGTTTTCAGAAACGACACCATTACCGAGAAGAAGTTACAGACATACGATTCGCTCTGCGCTCAGGATCTGCGTCGGGGTCTACTCTCTCGCGTCGACGACGACCACGAGACACCTAACCGTCCCACAACAGAGAAGCGTCCTACAGGACACCAAAATTTCCTTAGCCCTACACCGCCTCCTCGATCCCGTCGTGCGGCCTCCCAGAAGTCAAGTCAGCTCGGGCAGGATGGGATAAGGAGGAGGGTTAGCGGTGGGACGAGGCAGCCGCATCAGGGCGGGGATGGGTTGCTCAAGCGCGGGACTCCCTCACGGGCGTCGTCTATGCGGGACGCAAGGCCGGTGTACCCGCCTTCTGTCGCGAGCGCATATACTCAGCTTAGTGCTAGTGCGAGCGAGTACCCTGCGGGGGAGGTCCAGTATCCTGCGGGTGAGAGTCAGTACCCCCCGAGCTTGGGAGAGGGAGAGACAAGGAGCATGGGAGGGAGGAGTACGCGGACGCATGGGTTTATGATCATGGAGGAGGAGGACGACGACGACGACGACGACGGTGTGGGTGGGTGGGAGGGGTTGGATGTGGATGGGTATAATGAAGATGGGGGTGGGGAGGTAAAGTTGGGGAGGGCGACGTCGAGGTATCGGATGCCGCTTAAGGGTGGTGGAGATACACCGTTGGCTTGCTCCAATCCCAATCCCGACCTTGACAAACAGGGAGAGTCAACGTCGCGCCGTGGGAGTGAAGGCTCGACGTCACGACGTGGGCTGGACGAGTCTCCCTCGCTGCCTATCCAGCTGTCGCCCGATACAAAATGGGGACCGGCGGACTCGGGATGGTGGGGCACGTTGAAAGGCGCTATTCGGAGAGACGGGGCAGGGGTGGATTCGCTTCGAGGGACGTTCGAGAGGGTTGGGGGCGACGATCATGATTCTGGTGGGGGAGGGGATCGATACACTGCTCTTCCTCTTCCTGGTACGAGGACAAGGTCGCGAGGGGCCTCTCGATCCCGGTCGCATTCGCCCGTGAAGAAGACTACCTCCAACAACACGAACACCAACGTCAGCAACGGCAACGGCAACAACAACAACCTCTACCCGCACCGCACACCAGCTCGCATCACCTCCCACTCCTCCATGCTCCCCGTCTCACCTCCTCAACTCACCTCTGCCCGGCTGGAAGAAACCATCCTCTTCGCTTCGCCCTCCCTTGCTTCGTCCAGCCAGCCTTCTTTCGGAGCTGTGATAAGCCAAGAATGGATATCCTCAGCATTCAAGGGACCCAGGGCGCCTTCCAAGATGGGCAGGGCGAAAAGTCCCACTCGTTCAGCGTTCTTTGGCGGAGACGACTCTGGTGTGGTAAAGTCGCCTAGACTCGGACTGGGAGGAGGGGGGATTGGGGAGGGCAAGTTGAGGAATCCGTATGGGGGGGATAAGTTGGTGAAGAGGGGTGGATGATTCTGGTTCCTGTTCTGCGACTCTGCGTTCTTTCTGTTACATTTCTTGGACACATCCTTGCATACCCATCATACTACTACGACGCATACCTACTTAGAAGATCTTGTTCATGTCTATCTTACACAACACACACGCTTCTTGGCTTTGAATATATATACATTCGTAGACTTTCTAGGGCTTCTCGTTGAGCTCGACACGAAGTGGGTGTGTGAACTTTGCGGCAAGCAGGCTTTGACGCCGAGAAGCCGCGCGACAACTGGAATCGCAACCATCAACACCAACTCAACGATGTCCACGGTCCATTCTTCCCGCATCCCTCAGTAGCTGTCCGAATATATTCTCTCTCACGCCATCCTACCTTACCCACGGACGACTGCGATCTGCGCGATCTCTTGTCATCCATTCACCGGAGAATCCTGATCGTTCACACTGGTTGTAACATGACGCGACGGGCCCTCGACATGCACAACGTCTGCGGCGTGTTGGCTTAAGCACACGGTTGTACGGCCCATGCTCCGGTGCACGCTTGCAGCTATCGCATGTAAAGCATTGCCCTCCGCCTTGGCTTTCATTCAGCCTAATTCTCGGAGAAGAGTGGTATGTGCATCCCACCTGATCAACCAAACACTGTTGAGTTTGACTTTTGGTGTTGCTTCCAGGTCCAGGCTCAACGACGCGTATTCTGACCCCGGATTCTCGTTTGCCCCACTTACGTAGGAGAGCATTAGGCTTCTTCTATCAGCATCGACGTCAACTTCGAGGAAGGCGAATTCAGGGTGCGTCATCTTAATTTTCCGTTTACAGAGCCCGTCCAGGTTCGGGGATTCTCAAAGTTGACAAGTCTGCAAGGAATGACATATCGTCAATCGCATGTGATGGTACAGCTTATGGACCTTCCCCGCATTGTCCTGGGG